TTGCTTAAAGAGTCAAAACTTTTGGCGAGGTTACAGGACCCATTTTTGATAAAAATCCCAATTCACTGTGACTAACAAGACTCCAAACCCTAAAAACCCAGAAAGAAAAAACAGCATAGGCAGCATCCATGTTAATAGTATTATTCAAATCAATCGTAAAATTAAGGAATAAAGCACCTGTCTTTCGATAACACGAAGCTCCTCATGCAGCTTGGCTCTTTTGTTTAAGAGATTTGCAAGCATTGCAGCTGGATTTGAAGACCCTCTATGCCCTAATTACATGCAAGAAAATAAAATAAAAACATCAACTTCATAAAACAAGAAAAAAAGAAAAATATCAACTTTAAAGAAACTTAAAAACCGATTTAAGACAGAATAGCCCGTTAATTCAACAGCCTACCTTCAGGATCCATCTTTTCGCGCGAAAATTGTGAACAATTTGTGATCAAAATTTGGAGGTTTTGAAAACCCTTACCCCCAAATTGGACGGACAGATTTTATTTTTTTTTCTTTTTAATTGCAAAAAAACAATTACGTTATTATCAGCGCTTTTAGATTAATGGGCCCATAATTTGTACCGAATATCTTGGGCTTAATATTGGGCTTGGCTTCGTGGAAAATATAAATAAACTAGTAATAATACATAATGTATAAAAAGAAAATTCTCAGGAGGACGCAGGGAGCTGATAACGTTGATAAATATTAACAAATACTCTTAGACGCATGAGTCTCTAAAATGCGTGGGTATAGTATTTTTATTTTTCTTACATTATAGTATTTTTATTTTTCTTACATTTTTTTTCTTTTTTTCCCATCCCCACATTTTTTTTGTTTTTTTATTTTTATTTTTTACAAAATTATTTTTTTATTATTTTTTATTTTTAAAAATTTTTTTGTTGATTTTATTTTTTTAAAATTAAACTGGTTAAGAATTTAGTTTCATATTTTTTTTATTTGAAACATTGTCGATTGATACCGTATTTTTTCATATAATTTTTATTTTTTTATAATTTCTTTTAAAATATTTTTTGTAGATTTTATTTTTTTAATATTAAACTGATTGAAAATTATAACTATAGTTTTACCCACAGAACATTATGGATTGTTATAGTATTTCTCTACATTATTTTTTTCTTTTGTTTTTTTATGATTCTTGCTTTTTTATATGATTTTTTTTTCAAAATTGTCTTTATTGCTTCTATTTTTTTAATTTCAAGCTAGTTGAAAATTTAGCTTTTGTACTTTTTTAATATTAAACTGGATTGCTACAATCATTCCCTACATGGTTTTTTTATTATTTTTTTTAAATTATCTTTGTTAATTTTATTTTTTTAATATTGAGCTGGTTGAGAATCATAACTGTATATTTCCTCACAAAACACAATAGATTACTACAATGTTTCCCTGCATAGTTATTTTTTCATTTTTTTTAATGTTCTTTGTCTGAAATTATCTTTGTAGTTTTTTTTTTTATTATTTTTTCATTTTTTTTAATGTTCTTTATCTGAAATTATCTTTGTAGTTTTTTTCTTAAAAACATTATAAATTGTAACAGTCTTTCGCCATATAATTTTTTTATGTTTTTTTTATAAGTCCATGATAACATACAAGCATGTTATACGTCCACAATAGTGCGCAAGCATGATAACTAGTTAACTAATACTTTAAAACGCACGGGGAAAGTACTGTAACTTTCCTCAAATGTTTTTTTTGTCTTTCTTTCTTATTCTTTTTCCCTGTAATTTTTTTTTTTGCTTTTCATTTTTTCTCATGATTGTCTTCATCTTCTTTTTTTATTTTTGTTTTTCTTTAAAATTATCCTTATTAATTTTTTCTTAATATTAAACTGATTGAGAATTTAGTTATATAGTTTTTTCTTTAAAACACTATGGATTTCTATAATGTTTTCCTAGATGGTTTTTTTATGAATTTTTTTCTTCTTTTTTTATCCAAAATAGTTTTTGTCAATTTTTTTTATATTGAGTTAGTTGAGAATTTTTTTATATAGTTTTTTCTTTAAAACACTATGGATTGTTACAATGTTTCTCCCCATGGTTTTTGTTTTGCTATAATGTTTCCTCACATTTTTTTTTCAGAATTATGTTTGTCAATTTTTTTTAAGATTGAACTGGTTGAGAATTTAACTTTAACTTTCCCCACATTGTTTTTCTTTTTTCTTTTTCCAAAACTATCCTTTTTTTTGTGTTTTTTTAAGGATTTTGTTTGTTGATTTTTTTTTTTAATTTGGAGATAGTTAAAAATTTAACTTTGTAGTTTTTTTTGTTATGACATTGTGAATTGTTACAGTATTTTCTAGCATTTTTTTTTCATAATTATCTTTGTAAATTTTATTTTTCATATTGAGCTAGTTGAGAATTTAGTTTTGTAAGTTTTTTTTTAAAAACACCTTGAATTGCCATAATGTTCCCCCATAAGATATTTTTTTTTGTTATGATTTTTTTAAAAATTATCTTTATTGATTTTATTATTTTTAATATTGATATGGTTGAGAATTACAACTATAAATTTCTTTATGAAACACTATAGATTGCTAAAATATTTTTTTGCATTGCTTTTTTCCTTTTTTTTGTTATGATTTTTTCTAAAATTTTATTTTTTAAAATATTAAGTTGGTTAAAAATTTAGCTTTGTATTTTTTTCCTTTAAAACATTGTGGTTTGTGATAATTTTTTCTATATAATTTTTATTTTATTTTTTGCACAAATCCACAATAATGCACAAACATACCACAAGCACGTGACATTGCATGAGCATGACTTCTAACGTCAATCTAAATGATGCCTCTTTAAAAATATGATCAAGAGAAATTACAATTACAAAACATTAAAAATTTCTTGTAATTTTTTTAATTTTACTGTAGCCCCACCGACTTTTTTTTAATTTTCAATTTGTTGTTGTTTTAATAGTAACTTTTAATGCCCAAATTAATAATTAATTTGTTGAAACTCTTAAGGGATGGACAAATTTAAAAGACAATACATGGATAAATATTTTCCAAATCAAAAATCTAGGGAAAAAGTTTATTTTAGTACTTCTATTTTCATTTTTCTTTAACTTCTTAAATTGTTTGTGAATTTGAATTTTATTCAAAATTTATTATTTTTATTTTTTAATTTATAACTTCGAGAAGGAGAGAGTAAGTCATTGAATAGAGAAAAGATTGTTGGTTGATACCGATTTCAACCACTAAAACAAGTGATTTTAATATCAATAAGTTCTATTTGATAAAGAAGTTTGATAATAATTATTTTGAATCTTAATATTGCAAGGAAAAGCAAATCAAACTTGAGAAAGGAAATTTTTACTAAGTTTGATTTGGTTTTTTGAGTTTTTTTTAAATTGATGAATTGATTTTTTTAATGTTATAAGAGTTTTTATTAGGTATTTATAGATAAAAATAGATTTTTAAAGATAAAATAAAATAAAACACCTTGATTTTCCCATTAATATAATGGTGATCTACTTGTATTTTTCTAAAAGAAAAGGGGGATTTGCTTAAATATAAATTGTGCTTAAATGCATTCAAGTATCTACATGCTTGATTGATTAACAAGAAAAATTCAAAATTTTCCAGGTTTTGTCCGCGTCCAAGTTCAAATCTTGTTTTTTTCATCATTCAATTTATTTTGATAAACTTATTTTTTTTATATTTTTTTTTGTAAAACTTGTCCCTTTTTCCATCAATTTTTTTTCTTGAACTTTTTTTTAAAAACTTTTGTTACAATATAAGTAAATAAAAAATATTTTTTAAAAAAAATTAGTAAACTTAATTGAATCCACGATTCAAATCATAAGTTTAACATGTCAAGTTGTAAAACCATGTCAATCCAAAATATTTTTATCTTAATATATTTTTTTTAAATCATCTTGAATTTTTCTTGAAGCATTTGATTTATTTTAAATTAGGCTTCATAATATTTTTTGATTTGGTTTCAATAAAATTAACTTATTTTAATTTACTTTTATAAGATTATCACGATCTCATAATCGAGATCGTGAGATTACTATACTTATCCATATTAATTTAATATATTAATATTTTTTTAAAATATTATCTTTTTTTACATGTTTGGAATTTTTTTAATTAATTATTTTTTTGTCTTTTCACTTTTCTTTTTGCATTTAAATTTCCTTTTTGGTTCAAATGACAACATAGTACAAAGAAGTAACTTAGAATATTTGAAGTATCAAGTGAATGATCATATAGAATGCAGAGAAGTAAGCCCCTAGGATAATCGCATATTTATTAATGAGTTGATTTATGACAAGTTTTATTTTAAATTAATTTTAAAAAATAAATCTTATATAACTTGATTAATTCAATCATATTTTTAATAATTAAATTGATTCAATTAAACTCGGTCCATGATATTTTAATAAAAACAATTAATTCCAGTAAAACTTGGTTAATTCAATCATGTTTTTAATAAATAAATTAATTCAATTAAACTCAGTCCATGTATTTTAATAAAAATAATTATCTCAAGTTAATATAATAATCTAAACCTAATTCTAAATCAATTACTAGATTGAATTTAATAAATATAGATAATCCTAGAGTAGTTGTTATATATGGTAAAGATCAAGAGGTATGGTAGTAGCGTTAATGCAACGCACCGTCCCCTTATAATGTTTGGTCATCTTCTCCTTTTATGTTGGGCTCTCTGATTCTTTGATTTCCATTGAATGTTTTCTTTCTTCCTCCTTTTCTTATGCTAGAGTGATTTCTCCTTTCATCAATGGTTAAATGCAAATTATATATATATATATAACACACAGAAAACCTTACTAAGATGCGAATGTCTTGAAACTTCATCCATATAAGATTGGACAGAAACGTAATCTGCTCTACTCGATTTTAACTCTTAGTTTGTTTTGTTAATGTCTCCAGATGTAAGAAACCTGAAGAGATATGAATAAAAATATAAAATAAATTGTTTTTTAAAATAATTTTTAAATGAATTTCTTTACTTCAATGAAAGGACACACAGACGAAAGGAAAGAAAAAGGAAACCGCAGCCACACTTTGTCGACGGTGGACACCTTAGCTATCCGTCAACAACATCCATGTCCTTTTTTTTGGTTTAACTTTCTGCACGAGGAAGAGTAGAAGAGCCCATACGCACCTCTCCTCACATTTCAGAATCTTTCACACCCTTCATAAATCTCTTTCCTTATCACACTTCTTACATCATACCCAAAAAAGAAGAGAGCAACAGAAGACATATTCTTTTGTCTTGAAAGCACTGAATTTCCTTTTTCTGTATTTCTTTTAACTTCTCTGTAACTTGGCCACTACCTTCCTTTTTTTGTTCTTTATAGATTTTTTAGAATTAGAGCGGCTGTGCTGTTTGTTTTGCTATCCTTCATTTACCTTATAACTCAGCTACAATTCTCTCGACTCTTTATAAGCTGTCATGAATTTCAGAGGTGCAAGTCGGGTATGCCCCATCTCCGTCTCTGTTTATTTCTACAAGGGCTTGTTTTCTTTTGTTAAAATGAGTTTGTTTTGACTGTCTATGTTGATGCTTGCATGGTTTTGCCTCTCTTGTTAACCAACGATGTTGTCTGGCTAAATTTGTCCCCTTTTTTCTATTTTGTTAGTAAAAGATTTGATCTTTTGGGGTAAAGAAGAGGAAATCCGTTGTTGTTTGAACCCATTTGTGATTAACCTTAAATGAACAGATTTTTTTTATACTTAGAAATTGCGTTGTAATTTGACAGCAAGTTATTGATGTGATTAATTCACTGTAAATTTCCAGGCCAATGCATCATCCGGCATAGGGGTTGCTGATCACAGCAAAAATACATTTATTGAACTTCAGAGGAAGAAGGTGCACCGATATGTGATCTTCAAAATTGAAGAGAAGAAGATGGAAGTTGTGGTCGAGAAGACCGGGGAGCCATCTGAGAGCTATGAAGATTTCGCTGCATCTTTGCCTGACAATGATTGTCGATATGCTGTCTATGACTTCGATTTCGTGACTTTTGAGAATTGTCAAAAGAGCAAAATCTTCTTCATTGCATGGTGAGTTTCTGCCTTTGATTCCCTTAATTTCGATTTGATTGGTTGGATTAGAAAATTATTTGAGACATGATAAATTTCCACGATTCTTTATACATGTGCTATGTTTTGATGAATCCTTCGAAAGATAACTTGTTATGGTATTTGGATGCCTTTTGCGTTGATCGTGGATTAGTTGTAATCATAAAATTGCCAAGTCTGATGGCATGCTATATATGGGATTTGATTTCTTTTCTTGTTGAAAGACATGACAAACCATGATGTGAATCTATCCCTGCAGATAAACCTTTTAAGAGGTATTGTTCCATTGGAATCATACAATGAGTTTTATCCTTTTAAAAAGCATTTCTTGAGAAGAGAGATGCTTTTTGAGCTTGTAAGTAACTAAAATCCTTGTTTTCTAGTTGATATGAGATTAATGGCATCATAACACATTTGGATCATCTTGTGTTTCAATATAGGCACTCCTAGACTAGCATATGCAACTTCCCCGGCCCTTTCCCCATGTGCAAATATTTGCACATAAATATCTGAATCATAGGCATCCATTCTTGCAATATAACACAAGGAAAGTTTTCTTGCCTTAGAAGAAAATAATGCTTTCTTATTCTCTTTATTTCTGTCATACAACAGGTATATATATACAACCCTACACTTTCCTAACAGAATAAGGAAGGACTAATTACTTCCTAAACTAGAAAACTAAATATTGTAAGAATCCCGTAAATTATAGGAATCCTAATACAAGTTAACATTCCCCCTCAAGTTGGTGCATAGATGTCACACATGCCCAACTTGTCTAAAAACCTGGAGAACTTGTTACTAGAAACCGCCTTAGTGAGAATATCTGCTACTTGGTCATCCGTTCCTATGGGAGGAACCTCAATTACTTTGTTATCTAGCTTTTCTTTAATAAAGAACCGATCAACCTCTACATGCTTGGTCCTATCATGTTGTACTGGATTATGAGCAATATCACGAGCAGCTTTATTGTCACAAAATAACTTCATCGATTGGCTATGGTTGACCCCCATATCTTGTAATAGAAACTTAAGCCACAAGAGTTCACAGATACCGAGTGCCATGCCTCTAAATTCAGCTTCTGCGCTTGATCTTGACACAACATTTTGCTTCTTACTTCTCCACGTTACTAGATTTCCTCCAACAAAGGTAAAATACCCGGATGTCGAACGCCTATCATCCGTGGATCCAGCCCAATCAGCATCCGTATAGCACTCAATTTTGAAATGCCTATTTTTTCGAAATAAAACACCTTTACCAGGGCTTCCTTTCAAGTAACTCAATATTCTCATGACTGCACTCATGTGTTGTTCTCCTGGATTGTGCATATATTGACTAATTACGCTCAAGGCATGAGCCAAATCTGGTCTAGTGTGACCCAAGTACATCAATCTTCCTACTAACCGTTGATACCTCCCTTTATCAATCGATCCTTGGGTCTGATCAATACCCAACTTCATTCCTTCAGCCAACGGAGTGGATACCGGCTTGCATGCTGTCATACCGGTTTCTTTTAATAGGTCAAGAACATACTTTCTTTGCGATAGAAATATCCCGGACTTGCACCTCGACACTTCAATCCCAAGAAAATATTTTAAAGAACCAAGATCTTTCATTTCGAATTCTGTGGACAAATAATTTTTTAAGGCTGCTTGCTCAGTAGGATCATTACCAGTAACTACCATATCATCCACATATACAATGAGAGCTGTAACCTTTCCATCCCGGTGTTTCAAGAATAACGTGTGATCCCAATTACTTTGTCTATACCCGAATGCTCTCATTGATTTGGTAAACCTACCAAACCAGGCTCGAGGAGACTGCTTCAACCCATACAATGATTTCTTAAGTCTACATACCTTTGGTTTCCATTTGTCTGGATCACTCCATCCGGGTGGAAGGTCCATGTAAATCTCCTCAGTTAAATCTCCATGGAGGAATGCATTTTTTACATCAAACTGTTGCAAAGGCCAATCTAGATTTGCTGCTAAGGACAGTAGAACACGAACTGTGTTGATTTTTGCCACTGGTGCAAATGTATCAGTGTAGTCAATGCCATATTTCTGTGTATATCCCTTTGCCACCAATCTTGCCTTAAAGCGATCTATTGTTCCATCTGCTTTGTATTTCACTGTATAAACCCATTTGCATCCCACAGATTTCTTTCCAGCTGGTAAGTCAGTTATTTCCCAGGTAGCATTCTTCTTCAACGATCTCAATTCTTCATTCATTGCATCTTTCCAGCGGGAATCTGCTAAGGCCTCCTGCACACTGTTAGGAATAGATACAGTAGATAATTGATATACAAATGACTTATTTGATTCTGATAGGTGACCGGTAGACACATAATTGTTTAATGGGTATCTCACTCTTGAATCAGAATTTGGTTCACTCAAGGAATACTTGTGTTTACATTTAAGATCTGCCTCGTAAATAGGTTTGGGAATACCTCGATTAATACGCTTTGGAAGGTGACGGGGTGAAATTGCATCCGATGTGGGAGACGATTGGTTATGAGAATTAACAGAGGATGAGTTCATACTTGGATCATGTATACCATCAGAAGGAAAATCCTGTGACAATTGCTGTAGTTGTTGCTCGGTTCTATTGTAAGTAATAGGCTGCAGCTCATTATCAAACCCCAACCTTGTGGGACCAGTAGGCTGTTCTTCCTCCTGCAATGTTTGTTGCTCATCAGAGTCGCTGTTTTTGGTAGCCTGATCACCATAACATGTGGATTGTTGCTCTTCTCTAGGTGCTGTGTGCTCCAGGCATGATGACTGCACTGGTTGCTCTTTGTGTAGCTCTTTTCTAGCCACAGGAGAGTAATCAAATGTCAAAACTTCAGTATTATCTCGGGTTAGAACTTCACTGCTTCGATACTCCTCCTGAAGTGAGGACGTGGAGGGTCCAAAAAACATTTCATTCTCATGAAAATTCACATCCAATGTAATAAACATTCTTTTACTCGAAGGATGATAACAACGATATCCTTTCTGGGTAGTAGCATAGCCCAAAAAAACACAACGAATGGCGCGAGGCTCAAGTTTATTATGCCGTTGAGAAGGATGCAGGTGAACAAAAGCTACACACCCCATGACCCGTGGGGGAAGATTGGGAGTCGGTGGACTGTTAATCTGAGATGTGAGAGCCTGAAATGGTGTATGGAAGTTGATATTATGAGAAGGAAGACGATTAATAAGATAAGCTGCAGATGTAAGCGCCTCTCCCCAATACTGTAGAGGCAGATGTGCTGCAATGAGCAAAGCACGAACCATTTCTAACAGGTGTCTATTTTTCCGTTCAGCAACCCCATTCTGTTGAGGAGTATATGGGCACGTGGTCTGATGAACAATACCATGCAGTTCCAAGAAGGAACGAAGTTCTAAATTAACATATTCACCGCCATTATCACTTCTAAGAACTTGGATCTTGCTGTTGTATTGCACCATAATCATTTTATGAAATCTCTGAAAGGCTGAACTGACTTCGCTTTTTGATTTCAACAAGGCGACCCAAGTCATTCTGGTACAATCATCAATAAAAGTAACAAACCAGTGAGCACCACCAAGAGTAGATATTTTCGACGGTCCCCATACATCAGAATGTACAATCATAAAAGGAATGGTACTTTTATTGAAACTTGGAGGAAAAGAGGTTCGATGGCTCTTAGCCATTTCACAAACATCACATTTAAATTGGGAAACATCAGTCCTAACAAATAAATTTGGAAATAACTTGTGTAGATAGCTGAAGGAAGCATGCCCAAGACGTCTGTGCCACATCCAGATATCTGACACTTTATTAGTATTCCTTTGAGACCCATAACTGGAAGGAGCTTGAGTCAACAAGCTAGAACTGCTGGTGGTCAGTTCCAAGTAATAAAGTTTTCCTCTTCTAATACCATAACCAATCGTCTTCCGCGTCTGGATATCCTTAAAAACACAAAAATATGGCCAAAAAATAACCAAACAATGTAAGGTAAGGGTTATTTGAGCAACAGACAACAAATTATAGTTTAAAGAGGGAACTACAAGAACAGTGTCAAGTTCCATGGTATCAGTAAGGGAAACAATGCCTTCCCCAATAACAGGAACGACATTACCATTAGCAACATTGACCTCAGTTTGGGCTGATGTTTTTAGTGATGGAACCTGTCTAGAATCGCAAGTCATATGTTCAGTAGCTCCAGAATCAATTATCCATGTATTATTCATAACAGAAGTAGAAGTACTTAGTGCCTTACCATCTCTACCTGTTGCAGCAACCATGGCAGATGCCTTGTCTGCTATCTGGTCCGAATCCATCCTGGTTTCTGCAATAGAGGCTCCTGACTTGTTGCACCGAGGATCACGGGTTTTATCCCAATTCTCAGGATATCCAATCAGCTCAAAACAACGACTCTTAGAGTGTCCTGGCAGGCCACAGTGTGGGCATTTTCCTTGGGAACGATCCCAGCTTGGCTGGCTAGGTCGAGTTTGTCCTGGCCGGTTTTGTGACCCTCCTCGGTTCAACCCAGAGGATGATCCACGGGTTTTTGTTGCCATGGCAGCAGGTTCACTCTTGTCAACCTCCATCTTCATTGCTTCCTTCCTATCAGCTTCACGACGAACATATGCATAAGAAGCCTGAAGGCCAAGTGGGGGATCCTTCCGTAGCACTTCTCCACGTACCTGATCAAACCTGTCATCAAGACCACCAAGAAATATATAGACTCGTTGTCTCTCAGTGGATTTCTGAAATATCTTGATGTCATTTTCACACTCCATGGATACTCTATTAAAGTGATCCAATTCTTGGAAAATCTCAGTTAGCTCCCCAAAATAGGTTGCCAAAGGTCGGCTATTCTGACGAAGACGTGATGCCTTTTGATTCAATGAATAAATTCTAGCCTCGTCATTCTCATCAAAGTAAGCTGCTTTAAGGGAGTCCCAAATCTCCTTTGATGTAGACAACCGAATGTACCGTTTCATAATCTCAGGCTTCATTGAAGACAAAAGCCAACTCTTGATTTTTTGATCTTCAGAGAACCAGTCATCATATTTAGGATCGTCTTCATGAGGTGCCTTGATCGACCCACGGAGATATCCCATCTTCTTCCTTCCAGCAATATGGATCTGAATGAGAGGAGCCCATAAATCATAGTTTTTTTCATCCAAAACCATACCAATATTAAAGCTTGAATTTTCTGTCTGCACCATGATTGGAGCAGCTGCTAGAGCATCTTGAGAACCGGCCCCCTTTTCTTCAGCCATCTCTCTTACTGTTGGTATAGCCTAAAACTTGCAGTTTTGATAGATTTTGAAACAATACAAACAGACTTACAAAGCAGGGGAGGGGCAGCAACAACTTTACAGTTGCTCGTTGAAACCGGCAGCAACAACTCTAAGTTGCTCGCTGCAATTACTTAGAGATACGGCAGGAAGCGAAAATATTTAGGGTTCAGTGTTTTCTTTTCTATTTCAGCTCTGATACCAAGAAGAAAATAATGCTTTCTTATTCTCTTTATTTCTGTCATACAACAGGTATATATATACAACCCTACACTTTCCTAACAGAATAAGGAAGGACTAATTACTTCCTAAACTAGAAAACTAAATATTGTAAGAATCCCGTAAATTATAGGAATCCTAATACAAGTTAACAGCCTTCATGTGTCTAGCCTTCACAATTTCTTGTTATACTGAAAAGGCTTGGAGCTGTTAGGGTGATGATTATGATAGTATTTGCATAATGCCACTAAGGTAACCACAAAAGTTGCACTCTGTTTTTCTGCGATTTGTCCACAATAACAATTGCAAATGGTCATATACACATATATGTACAAATGTTATGTTCATACATGTACTTGTAAATCTATCTAGTAAATAAATCAATCTAGTTAAGATGATTGGACATCTTCTTTTAGTGTTTATGATAAGAATAAATTTTTTGTTTCAGATGTTACTGTAAGTCTGCTTTAAGTTGTGTTCTGTAGTTTACCCTTTCAAGTTAAACATGGTATTTTGATGTCTATCTAGTACGATGATGAGCTCATTAGGTAAATGAGGAGGTTCGGCCCTCAGAGGTATCTTTGTCTGTCTGAGAGCATGAATTGATATTCAATACAATTTGATTACGCTAAGTCTGTACTCTAGGTTGCTTTTTTTCCCCTTTAGATCTGTCTTGTATCATTTTACTTATAATAGCCTTATAACCTTGAAGTAAATATAGAATTTGTAATTTGGATTTTGGACTTTGGAGTCATGAATTTGCATTTTCTCGCTGCCTGTGTTGTTATGCCAAAGAAATGTTCTGCCACAGCTTTATGCCAAAGACTGACAGACCCATGCCATGAAAATAATTTGATGGCCTATTCATTCTGTTTATTCTCCTGCCAACTTTTATACCTTTTCTTATGGGCAAGAGCTCTGATTATTGATTCCAGCTGCAATTTTTCACGCCTCTGAAGAAATTTTGTGTGTTTCCATCCACACAGCAGAAAAATTGATTTCTTCTTTCATTCATTCAATGTATGACCATTTGATCAGGTGTCCTTCAACCTCTCGAATCCGTGCAAAGGTGCTCTATGCCACGTCTAAAGAGAGATTTAGAAGGGAGCTGAATGGTATCCACTATGAGATTCAGGCTACTGACCCTACAGAGATGGATCTTGAAGTGATCAGAGACCGTGCAAATTAAAGAGTCCATACCATTAATGGTTTCTTCTGAGGAAAACAAGTTTGTCAAGCTCTTGCCAACTTGCGAATTAATGCCTCCTTGTTCCATTATTCTACGTACAGGATCCTTATGTGGACAAGATAAACTACATGTTACTTAAATAACTAGCATTGCGGAAGTGTGATAAGCAGCTCTGTGCTATTATATTGGAAATTCCTGCTAAATTCAGCTTCTGCACTGGAATCTGTAGCAGATAAACATCAGCAAATCGAATTTCATTTACATATGTACTCCAATGAACTAACGAATCAATACAAAAATAAATGAGAGGGGTTTTTTTTCCAGGCCACCATTACTGCTCTTGCTCCTCAATTCTCACGGGACATCGTCTCAAAGACGTCCCCTTCGATTCTGGCACCAAGAAAGTAAACAGCAGACCCAAGAGGTTAATAAAACCTAGTACAATAAGCGAATTGCGCACCCCAATACCAGCAGGGTATCCAGCACAGGCCTTGGCTTTGTCCGGGTTCTGAGCCGAATATAAATCGAATGCACCAACTATAGCCCCAAGCTTCCCTGATGCTTCTGATATACGGTGGCATGCGGACCTCAACCTTGCTGGGAAAATGTCGGCTGTCACAACAAATGTGGTGGCATTGGGTCCAAAATTTGCAAAGAAGAAGGTTATTGAGTGCATCATCACGAATCCTATTTGGTTTTCCTTGCGAGTCCAGTGGTCGTCAGGGATGGCCGAAGCAAATATAAACACTGTCATGAAGAAGGCCAGCAAGTGGATGGCAAATCTTCCCGATCTGTCAATCAAAGCCACTGTGAACCAGTAGCCTAGAACGGTACTCCATAGAGTAATAAGTGTTTGTAACCTTGCAATTCCATAAACCTCTTGAATTTCATTTATAGTTTTTGCGCGAGGAATCCTTCCAATTGCGCTAAAGAAATCTTTTTGGGAAACATTTTGGTTGAAGAATGCAACCCAGTAAGTGAAACTCGTGGCATCGAAGAAACTATGACGAGAACAAACCAAAAGATTTGGCTGGTTGCTTATTATGACATGTGAAAGGCCTGGTAGACATATCCATGGACAAGAATGACAGGTTCAAGTTTAAGAAGAGCCTTGGTCATACCAAACAACTTGTTTTACGGCATAAATTTTGATCTGAGCCATGGATTGTGTTCAAATTATATGTCATTAAAGTTGATAATTAAACTTTATATATTCATATATTATTTTTATTTCATCATATCATTTAAATTGCGTCAATTTTTGTGATTATCAACCTGTAAAGGTTTGTATCAGTACCTCTCAATTACTCTGCATAATTTTTTCATAATAGAGATAGGTTGATAAAAATTTAGATCATTGAATACTGTCCTGTTGTGTGAACTTAGCTCCAACTTTGGCACTGGCCCATAACAGGAAAGGAAAATTGAAAAATCTATCATGTGTTTAACAAACTTATTCTAGAGTAGTGGCTAAAGCAAAATTTAAACCGCGGGCACTGTCCTGTTATGTAATCTTGGCTCCACATTTGGCACTGACCCCTCATCAGTCTCATTCTCACCAGACATCTCCTCCAAGGATTTTCCCTTTGATTCAGGGACCAAGAAAGTAAACACCATGCCGAAGAAGTTGACGACACCCAGGACAAGGAGTGAATTCTTCACACCAATGCCTGCAGGGTACCCTGCATCGGCCTTGGCCTTGTCCTGGTTCTGAGCCAAATATAAGAACCCGAATGCACCCACAATTGCTCCGAGCTTCCCAGAAGCTGCTGATATACCGTGGCAAGTGGACCTTAACCTTGCAGGGAAAATCTCGGCTGGTACAACAAATGTGGTGGCATTAGGTCCAAAGTTCGCAAAGAAGAAGGTCAATGAGTATATAATCACGAATCCAATTTGGTTGTCCTTGTGGGTCCAGTGGTTGTAAGGAATGGCCAACGCAAACATGAACACTGTCATGAAGAAGAAACCCATCAATTGGATTGCAAACCTTCCTATCCTGTCAATAAAAGCCACTGTGAACCAGTAACCTGGGACAGTACTGCAAAGAGCGATAAGAGTTTGCGCCCTTGCAATTCTATAAACCTCATCGATGGCATTCATGGTCTGTGCTTTGGGAATCCATCCGATCGCGCTAAATATATCCTTTTGGAAAAGATTTTGGCTGTAGAATGCAATGTCAAGCAAGAACCATGTGGTTGTTGTTCCAAGCAAGTGGAGTCCGTGGCGATGAAGGAACTTTTTTGTGAACAGACCAAATTGATTGGACTTGTCCTCGGTCAGTTGCTCGACCTTCTGCTCTTCCACCTCAAGATCCACCTGCAGAACTCTTGACATATCAGTCGCAGCCTGTTTTGCATTCTTGGCGACAAGTGCAGTGTAACGGGCAGTCTCAGGCATCTTCATCCTCCAGTAGTAGGTAAGTGCAGCGGGAAGCGCTCCAACCATTAGAATTATACGCCAAACGTAGTCAGCTTGTGGGACAGTTGAGGCAAGTGCATCAACCTGGTAAGATGGAGCATCAAACCAGGCCTTAAATGCAGATGATATAATTATAGCAAATATTCCACCAGCCAAAATTCCAAAACCTTGCATTGCAAAAACTGCAGCAATGAAGGCACCGCGAGTCTTCTTGTTAGCATATTCAGACATGATGGTGGCAGAAAGTGGATAGTCACCTCCAATACCAAACCCAAGCCAGAAACGAAAGAAGCAAAGGGTCGACATGACAGCCTTAGCATCACTGCTAAATGAAAGACCCGAGGCAATCGAACATATGACCATGAGCATAAGAGTCATACCATACACTTTCTTCCTTCCCATCTTGTCACCAAGCCAGCCAAAGAAGAGCTGGCCCGAAAGAGTTCCACAGAACGCCACACCATTAACAGCTGCCGATACATTGGGAGGCAAACTACCAGGCTTCTCTGCTCCATCAACATGGTAATATATGCGGCCAAGCAATTTGGTGACAAGGGATATGCAGAAGAGGTCATAGGCATCGGTGAAGAATCCCATACCAGCAATAATAATTGCAGTGAAGTGATACCATTGTGTTTTTGCCACATCAAGCGCATTGAGAACCTGTAATTCCCTGGCCATGACTACCTAGCTTATGTAGGAAAATGCCTTTCCTTGCTCTCTCTTTTCTCTGAAAAACTCTTCACCAAAGTTCTGTGAGAAAAAGGGACAAAAAAGAGGGAGAGAAAAGCTAGAAAGAAAGAAATTGATAAAGAAGCTCGTTTGGTTCACGAAAGATGGTGTTTCTTGAATGTATAAGCGACGAGCACCCCTTAAATTCTTAATAAAGCAGCAAGGCAGGCAAATATACCACGGGCATATTCCCCCCCTGTTTTCGCCCGCCCTCTTTCCTCGGTCAATAACCCTTTTCATTTACGTTGCGTTTATGTTCATCCCTTTTACACCTACAATGATAACTTTACCTCTATTTCGGTGGCTACAACTATTATTCGAACTAAAAAAAGTCGTCGTCGTTGTCGTCTTCTTCTTCTTCTTCTTTAATTATTATTATTATAGAATTTATGGTTTATTAATTTTAGTGAAAGTTACAAGAGAGTTGAGCAATTGTAGAGGTTTGGTTCCCTTATTTCAAGTTATATAGATTTCAGTTAAATTGAATTTATTTTCTATAACTAAATTAAAATTATCAACCACTTGAAGTATGATGAGACAATCACCATGAACAAAGGTCCATAGCCATGACTTCTCCTGCTCCCAGCTTGCACGAGTCAAAGCAACAGTCCTGGTGAGTGTAGGAGGGTGACAATGAAAAATTCTAGTCATTAATTCCATGTGGTTGGTCAACATTATGGACATATCTCTTAAAAATGGTCTGGCAGGTAAGGGATGGACAATGATTAATAATTTGGTTCCAATTTTTGTTTGGTGTAATTTGATTATTATCAGTGTCTTCTTTGAAAATTTTGTGTATAATACTTTTTAATTAAAAATATATTATAATTTTTTTAAAATATTTTTATCGTTAACATATTAAATTTATTAAAAAACATATAAAAATATCAATTTGATATTTTTTATATAAAAAACAAATTATAACAAAAAAATTAAAATAAAAATCACTCATTGCACTTCTTACCTGTAACTACGCAGACAAGCAACTAGAACGGGCCTCCCCTCCAAAAGAGAGGGCCATCGTGTAACATGTGCTATTATTATTTATGATGTGACTATCCTTAATTTGAATGAATGTAATATATATATATATATCAAACCGAACAATTTACAGAAGAGAGAGAATAAAGTTGCATAGCCATAGACTCGATACAAGTATGAATTGAATATAGAGAATTTATTTTTTGGAACTCTAATGAATGTGCGTTTTTAAATTATGTTTTAAAAATAATATCAATTAATGTACAAATTAATTTGAAGACACTTCTAATTAACCCGAAGGGGTTGTTCAAATTCTTAATTCATGAAAACTATATACAAGTTATAACCATAAGATTTGATCTCTTGTTTCTCATCAAATTAACGACAAAAAAGAGAAACTTTATCAGTTCTAGATTCTAAGTGAAAGGCAATACAAACATCGCAACCTTCTACCACACAAAATGTTAATTTCTAGATCTGATAGGATCTTAGGAAAATAAATTGAAATGAATAATTTAGGTTATTCCCAAGTCAAACCAGTATCAGAAAAGTGCTACAAATATGAAAAACATGGGCATCATTTCGGTGATTATTAGAAAACAAAAATATGTTAATGAGGGCGGGGGCAGAGCGAGTTGTGTTGACCTATGAAGGTTAGGAGAAATTAAGAGTCTGGGGATGAATATGCTTACATGGGTGTGAAGTTGCTGCTAACACCTAGGGTTACTGAGGATTTGTAGCTACGCTAGTAATTTATAACTCTTCGATGCATAAAACTTAATAACTTTTTCGATATATGTAGTTGTGAAAATATTATAGGCAAAAATATTGCATAAAAATTAAAATCACCATTAGAATATTGAACCATATAAAATTGGATGGATTGAGGTAAAATATAAAATAAAAGTAACTCGATGTTTTAAAGTTTCTTTTTTCATCGGAAAGTATAGATATGAATTGTTGAGATAGGGCTTGAGAATTTGATTCGGAGTATTTACAGTGATAAGCCAAAATAGTGAGATGTTGCACTTGAATAGTCAGAATTCGCATACAATAATGTCAAACATAATACAAAATGTAAAAAATTATTCAAAATTATATACATGCAGTGTTCAAGATATGTACTTGATCTTGTATCAATTTAGAAAGGTACTGGATATATCACAGACTATACATGTAAAGATGAGACATAAATTGCAAAAAATCTATGTCAAATACAAGAAGATGGTCAATAAACACGATTAATTGTGCTAAAGTATTTGATGAAGGAGATATGCTGATGGTTTTTCAACATAGGAAGAGATTTTCAATAGGAACATATAACAATCTACAATAAAAAAAAGTATGGACCTTATAACATACTAAAAAAATAATCAATAATAATATTTATATTGTCAATTATTCGGATAATAGGAGTTTTTGTAAGATTTTTAATGTTTGAGATATCTATAAAAAAAATTAAAAATTGTATATAAAGGGTAAGTCTTAATTCAAAAGGCTTAATTTTAATGTTTAATTAAGTAAATATTAACTACTAGAATGTTAACTATTCATTTATTTTGGAAGGATTAGGTTAATAAAATGACAAATTATGTTAAAAAGGACATAAAAGAACTAATTCCATTCCATGGATTTGATACTATTTCTGTTTCAAGACTCTGGATTGTGGGCAATTCATAGGGAGATTTTGTGGCTCGAAATTTACGCGAAAGGAAAACTAAGGCGTAGTTTCTTGTCGATTATGTATGTATTTGTATTTTAATTTTTAATTAGTGACATTGATGCCAATATTTTCACCCATTAACGTCAAGGGACAAATTACACGAGCAAATAAAGTTGATAATTAAAATTTTTATTTCCATACTTTATTTCTAATGCACTATATCATTTAAATTATATCTATTTTATAATTATAGATTTGTGGTTTAAGTTGTTAGAAAATATAATTATGGTTGC